TAATAAGACTTTAACAGACTGCGCTTTACAGAATGTATAATTTATAATATATTGTTTGTTATAGTAATGTGTATTATTTTCAGGAGGGTTTTTTTTGAAGATGATGAAGAATCCCATAAATCTGAGGTCAATCTTAGTGATACACCAGCAAAATCATTTGAAATACTTCTTAAATATATTTATACTGGTCGAATAAATTTAGGTGATCTAGAGGTAAAAAATAATCGACGTATTCTAACCGTTTATAGGTTTGTGTGATTATTTGGATGGTAGTATGTGTTAAATCTGTTAAATTATATATTTATTGAGAACATTTTAAGGAAGAAAGATTAATCACTTTTTTTATTATTTTTTTTAGAGTGGAGAAGTTTTCGAATTACTTAGGATTTCGGATTATTATGGCATTTCAAACTTAAAAAATCCACTGCACGAGTATTTAAAAAGTACGAAAAAAATACTAAGTTGGTGTACCTAAAATTAAGGTTATTATAGGGACACAATTTATTTCTAGTTTAGAAAAACTAAATAAATAGTTGGCCTTACTAATCATTTAGTTGGACGTACTTAATCAAGTTCCTTAAACTAAAAATTTAATTGGGTCAAATATTTACTTAGTTTTTCAACTTGAAATTTAGTCTGTCCCTTTACTATTCACCAAAATTTCAGGTGGAACAACTATGTGTATTATTCTGGGTGACTTATCTTTAAGCATATTTCCTAGGGAAAGAAAATGGGAGGATGAAAACTATTTGTTTCAATATTATTTTATTAAATCATAAAGAATTAAAAATTTCTTAGAATATGCAGATAGTCATTTTTTTAAATATTATGCACGTCACAATTTAAGTTTTAAAAGTTAGTAGAGCTATACATTTAATAGATAAACAAATGAATATATTTTAATACTTATTTTTAATTGTTGTTACCTATTGTGTTTCAAAAATTAAATAAACAATCCCTCCCAATTCAAGTATATATATAAAAAAAAGATTTTAATAACCCTTTAATAAAGGATTAATTTTTATTGAATTATTTTATACTAAACGCTAGCGCCGTTAACAGATTTAACAATTATAAAACCATTCTTTTACCGTCGAAAAAACTATTATAACTAAATTATTTAAATTAAAAAAAATAAACAAAAAGTTGAAAAATAAGAATTCTGGCGAGTGGATGCAACCTAAACTAATAAATCATTCAAATTAATCTAAAATGTTTTCTGTTTTGATCTGTTCCACCTACGCCTTCCTCAGATCACAGTAAAGAGCATATCGACCACACAGGACTCTTGGTTGAATTCATAAGAGACCTCTATCTAAGCGACAGGTATGTGGTAATGAATTTGTACCTATTTACTTTATTATTTTCACAAGTTATCAAGCTAATCTTGTATACAGTTTTTTAATTCCATAGCCCGAAATGTTTTCTACTCTGTTAGCAGTATAAAGTGGTATACTTAAAATAATATTGTAAAAGTAAGCCATAATTGTGTGTCCCGTTTTGCCAATTTTGGTGTAATAATTCTAATTTGATTTAAAATAGGTTGTACAAGGAATGCTAAAATGTGATATGCCTGTATCATTGTGAACTTAAAATGCTAATAAAGAAGCTACTATTTATATTTTTTTTACTAATTTGTCAATATAGATAGGTTTACCATCTTCCCCCTTTCTATTTTTTATAATCTTCCTACCCTAAATTATTCAATTCTCTTATTTTCTATTTTAAACTAGAGACTAAGATAAGGTTAAAACATACACATCAATTGTAATAATAATTTGTTACATTATACATAATTTATGGTTTAATTTTATATTAGTATGTATATTGTTAAATAATTTGATTGCATATTTCAGATGTTCAGATGTTGTTTTAGTTGTAGGTAATGAACGATTGCCCGCCCATCGTATTATACTAGCCTCACGAAGCGAATATTTTAGGTAGGTGTTTAACTTTTATTAGGACATAACTACTTGTTTTATTTGTAGCTGAAGTTATTAAATATCAAGTCTTAAAGTTAAGCATAAATTAAATATTTGTTTACCTGTACATGGGGCATTTCACGTAAAACCTGATTATCGGCCCTCCCCGTGGAATTTTCATGGCAATGAATTGGACTTCCTGGTTCGTTGTGATTTAATATAAAAAATACTCAAAATAAATGTTTTTATCGTCCCAAACATAATATAGTTTATCAATCAGTACAATTATCTCTGAAAAGGGTTCTATGTTTATCGTTTTACTTCATAGTAAAATGCTTGTATATATATTATTAATACTTCTTAATAATATTGTCATATCAAATTTATCTGATTTACCAATTCTTAACGAGAATTTTTAGTAAGTTTTAGATATATGATCTTTTTTTAGAAGTCCGTTTAATAAGACTTTAACAAACTGTAATTTACAAAATGTTTTACATATAATATTGTGTATTATTTTTAGGAGGTTTTTTTTTGGATATTATAAAGAAGCCCATAAATCTGAGGTCAATCTTAGTGATGCATCTATAACCATATATAAACTACTTCTTATATATATTTATACTGGTCAAATAAATTTAGGTGATCTAGAGGTAATGAATAATCGATGTACCTTAATCGTATATAAACGGCATAAACATAATTGTTATTAAGGTTGTGTGATCGTTTGAAAGAAAGATTAAACACCTTTTTTTATTCTTTTTTTTAGGGTGGAGAATTTTTCGAATTACTTAGGATTTCAGATTATTATGGTATTTCAAACTTAAAACTTCCACTGCACAAGTATTTAAAAAGTATTATTGACGTTGAAAATGTATGGACGTTCTTTGCTATGACTCGAGCTTATAAATACAATGACCTAGAAGTAGATTCACTTAAATTTATCGATAACCACGCCTCAAAAGTATTGCAATCTGATGACTTTCTATCTTTGACATCAGTTATGACTTTGTTATTAATAAAAACATTATATTGCTCGTGTTAGGAGAAAAGTTGAAAAAGAATTATTATTTTTAGGAAGCTCTTCAAGATATTCTCATTCGTGACTCATTTTTTGCTAAAGAATTAGATATATTCCGTGCGGTTTGTCGCTGGATTGAAAAACACCAAAACGACCTGGATCATGATACTGAAATGAAAGTTTTATCTGCGATCAGATATCCGTTAATGAGTATTGAAGAACTGGCTGAGGTTGGGCAATCACCGTTCGTTAAATCGAATAAAAGTTTACATGACATAATATTCAAAAACTCCTCGTCACCAGATAAGTTTCAATATCGAGGCCGGCTAAGTATGCTTGCTGTACATATCAATTTGTGTTTCGCAAATTATGTTGGTTTTTATTATTTCTTTTTTTAGAACCCAATGTAGATCTTATTCATCGGCCTTATCAACACACCCTTTTTCGGAAGCCTTCGAAGACTCCGGTTATCAATGGCATTAACGGTAGTACTACGATAACCTTGCGTGTTCCATCATTTATAAACTATATTGTAATATCGTTACCGGGTGTAGATTGGCTGGATGAACAAAGGTATGTTTTCAGCTTATAAATAACTCTAATTGAATAACCATTATTATGAAAAAATATTGTTTGAAAAATTGTTTGAAACAATTGTGACTATGATTTATGATTAATTTTATTTATTTATAAACATTTTATGTGTTGAGAATTTATTTTTATTATAAGGTAAGCAAAAAAAAATGATAAGTGGTTAAAAAAAGATTGTCTATTCTTATTGTTTATTAAGAAATAGTTGTTTATAACTAATATTTATTATTCAACAACTTTTTAAACAACTTTGGTCCTAATATTTAATTTTCTATACTTTTTTACGAATCACTACTCTACAAGTTAATCGAATTATTTAATACTTTAGGTATTACTCTTATTACATTGATGTTTCAATAGATCAGAACGATTGGATACGTGTTATAGATCATTCAAATTATAATTGTCGATCAACTCAACGTTTGTGGATTAAACCTCGCATAGTTCGGTATATACACATTGTTGGGACCAGAAGTACTGCTAAAGCAACTTTTACATTTTGGAGAGTCACGTACAATACAGAAGAAATGCACGACGTGGAAATAAAAAATGAATTAGTCGGTAAGAAAACCAATAAAGTAACTCAATTTTTATTTAAAAAAACTAACATAAATATTTATATATTTGTCTTATTGATTCCTTAGTTCCTAAGTCCGAGTATAATGTCGCATCAAATTATATGTGTGCATTTGTAATCAAAGGAGAAAATGATTTGATGAGACAGTCGATGTTAAACATATTAGATGATGATCTCTATGATCGTTTTGATAATAAGATTGATCGTTTTAACATGTATACATATCATTATTTGCAATCTGGATGTATAGTGATTCATCTTGCACAACCATATATTCTTAGTTCAATGAGGTAATTGTATAAATATCTTGTAAATTTTAGAGCAATAAGTTTTCTTTTGACAATTTATTTTTTTATCATTTTTAATCGTTCTAATACAATTTTAATTCAACTACGGTCTATAAATAACTTCTTATGTCTTTTTTCTTACTTCCTTTTCAGAGCTTAAGTCTCCAAATTGTACAAAACACTATTTATCATTCTGAAACACTTTTAAGTAAAAGATTTATCTTTTCTATAAGATCCTTGATCCAAATTTAGTTCTTAGGATGTTGTAACACTTATAGAGGGTACAAATGGAGGGCATTTGTATAGCATTTTTTCTAAATTGAATTATAAATATAAAAATGTTCTTGTTTTTTTCCTAATTGAAAATTAATGTGCAGTTTATTAAACTAATTCACAATATAAATGGTTATGGTTAAATCATTAACGAAAATGGTTTTAATTCGTTCTTTTTTTTATGGTGCACTACAATGTTTATATTGATTTATTATTTAAATATGAATTTTTTATCATTCGGTTAAAAGATTATTTGGCCTAATTATCTGTTATTCGTGAATAATTTCATTATTTAACTAAGACAGTATTATTATTGTCATAATTGACAGGTTTCTGCTTTGGGGTGGTAATGACCAATTCTACAAATACACTATTGAGGATTCTGTCAATAATCAGGATTGGAAATGGATTGCAAACGAATCTGAAGAGCTGAAACAATCTTGGCAGGTGTTGAAATTTACACCTAGACCGATACTCTACATTCGTATTACTGGCGTTTATAACTCAGCAGGCAATGTGAGTGAAATAAGCTAAGAGTGTCTTTTAACTTTTAATAACTATTTTATGTTGTAGGATTTCCGTATTGTATATTTTGAAGCTCCCGCTCAAGTAATTGTAGATGATCGTGTGGTAAGAAATACTATATGTTATATATATTTTTTTACAATCATTATGACGGAAACTGAGACAGAATTTTGATTTTCAGAAGAACAACGAAACAGATGATATAATGACAGAAGCTTCGACTTCAAATCCAGTCGTTTAAACCAAATTCCAATTATAAGCATATTTTTGTTTGTTGCACGCTTACCATGAATTAAAGATATTATAACAAATACAATTTTTCTCGTTTACATATACTTGCAAGATATATATTGTTTATATATATTATATTAATAACAGATTAAATAAATTATTACAGTACTGTAGTTGGTAATTCAATTGATACATGTGGGGGAGTATTCCGGGGCTTAATAAAAATAATTATAATATTATAGTATTACTAAGGCCATTACTTTGGTAATATCTGTTAAGTCGTTATATAGGAGCGTGGTTTTACTATTTTTGATTGGATATTATTATTATAATTTATAGTACCTAAAATATAAGTTGACATTTGAGATAAAAAATTAACACCGGAGAGAGATCACAAGAGTGAATGTAAAAATACTCTAAACAATGTGCATTGTTTATGAAATTTACAAGTTTTCCCGGTAAAAATACACAATACCGACCGTACAATCTTCACGAATAACATTATCTAAATACTAGGGCTATGACGGACAAGAGTGGAAAAAGTAAAAAGTAATAATTTTCAAATGAACGGCACCGTCTCTTCTTCAAACTTCACTCAATGTAATAGTAATTAACTATAATTGTCAGTACCTACTTTTATAATCACTATTTTTATAAGCATCACATATGTGAAGTTTTTTTAAATATTTTGTTGAACTATATCATTTTTAAATATATTTATCTATTCACATACATTTGTACTTGACATTTCAAATTTGTCTTTTTCTTTATTAATCTATTTTAAATAAATTGTCATTTATGTTATTTACCAAAATAATCTTCCTACAACTGTATGTATAATAACTTAGTTCATAATTTAATGAAACTAAAAATGTATACACATATATATTAATATAAAATAGCGCTTGTTAACATTACTAAAAAAACAAGGTTTGTATTTCTATTTTAAAATGAAAAGTTGCTATAAAAAATCTAATTTAGGGGGAGGGTAAACACACAAAAATGAGTGTAAAATTATTAATTTAACACAATGAGATGTTGAGTGGCTCACGATAAAAAAAATCACCCCGTATTGCTTTCATATGTTTCTAGATCAGGTGAAATAGGGTTTTTACTTCGAAATGTTTTCATAATGCTTCAACGTCATTCGAACATTAAAGAAACACGCTGTTATTAATACTAGTAGAATGTTATGAATATTGGTGCAATTGTACACTACTCGTTCAAAGCATAATGAAAAATAAATGTAAGTCTTAACAAAAAAGAAAAAGTGTATTGGTTTTGCTAAATTTCCACTATGTTCCGACTCCACTGTACTATTTTTAATAAAAGGGATTTTATTTTCTTACGCTGATGATTCAATCTAACACGATGGAAATCTTAAGCTACCGTATAACGCCTTGTGAGTATACTTCCCCTCCCATCCTAACTTTTAACCTTTAATAACCTTATAAATAAATAGTCAAAATATAAATAATTCCTGTAGACCTGTGACCTGCACTATACTCTGATCCCATAATGCCTCGACACCATTGTACTGGCTTGCTCGAATAATATCACTTTTAAATAAACGCTTCGATGCTAATTTGTAACATGACACCTCAATTTGATACTTTCTCACTGTTCTTGGTTTGGACTTTACTGGTTTGAAAATACTAAGTACTGATTCGCATGGAAGCATTTATTTGAAAGTGATTTTATTACATCCAGTTGTAATAATTCCTGTAACCTCCCCATCCCCACTATGCTCTGTCCCCACTATAACCTGGCCCCACTGTTGTACTATCATTAAACTTATTATTAGTATTGTTATACAATTCATTCCCTAGATTTTTAGCGTACATGTGTATTCAATGTCAGTCACGTTGTTCTTATTACTTAATAATTAAATCATGTTCTTTATTATAAATTAGATGTGTTTTAATTAATTGATAAATTAAATCAAGTACACAAATATACAACATGGCGCAGTCGAATAATTAATTTATGTACTAGGATCGGTCGGATAATTAAAGATAAAAATGGCGAACGAGTTTATTAAGCCTGATCACCTCAGGTTGGAAGGTAACCTAGAAGAAAACTTCAGACGTTTTAAGCAGGAAGTTGATATTTACTTCACGGCAACGGAGACTGAGGCGAAAGATGAAAAAACCAAAATCGCTAGAGTGTTGAATTTAGTTGGTCCAGAAGTACTCAGGTTGTACAATACTTTTAAATTAAAACCAAAAACGGCTGAAAATGTATTAAAAGCTTTCGAGGAATGCTGTATTCCCAAGAAGAATGAGGTCGTGGAACATTTTCGTTTGTTTTCTAGAAAGCAATTGGAAAGTGAAACTTTTGATCAGTTTTACACTGATCTTAAGGCACTAGTGGCTACATGTTCGTTTGATGCATTGGAGAGCAAGCTACTGCATACTCAAGTAGTTATTGGGTTATGTAACAAGGAACTACATGCACGGCTACTGAGGGAAAACTTAGAACTGGACAAAGTTGTAAAGCAATGTCAAGCAATGGAGCAGGCGGAGATGAACAGACATTTGCTTCAAAGTGATTCAAAAGAAGTATACATTATGTCTGGTGGAGATCAAAAAAGTCATCGGGGATCTGGACAACATCACAAAATGAACAATCGTTTTAAAGCAGCATCTATCAATCAAGGAACTGGGAGTCACTTTACTGATGGAGACAAATCAAAGCAAGGGCAAGTCAAGGTAATTCAAAATTGTTAGAAGTGTGGGATGACCCACAAAATTAATGATATGCTTAATTAATGTTAATTAATGTTATGCTTTTGGTAAATATTATCTTAAATGTAATAAATTGTATAATTTCTCTAAATGTTGTAATGTTAGGAGTATTAGCAATAAGAAAAATAATCAAGTATATAATATCGATAAAAGTGAAGTTGAAATAAATAAATTTGCTGTGTTGAGTTTATTAGAAGTAAATGGTACTAGTTGGTTTGAAAAGGTTGAAATAAATAATAGTGAAATTAGTATTAAAATAGATACAGGTGCAGAGATTAATGTCATGCCATCATTATTGTGTAAGAAATTGAAGTTAGAACCAATTGTGTGTAATTTAAAAATTGAGGCATTTGGAGGTTTTATTATTAAGCTTGTTGGTAAAGTAATTGTAAATTTGGCTAACAATTAAATTAAAGTAAAGACTGAGTTTGTAGTAGTTGACACACCAACTAAACCGTTGTTAGGGTTGGCTGACAGTAGAAAGTTAAAATACATTGGAAACGTTAGTAAATTAGAATTTTTGGTGGATAAGGAAAAGGAAAGATTCATAAATAAAAATATTGATGTTTTTACCGGTATGGGTTCGTTTCCAGACCTGGTAGCCATTAAATTGAGTAAAGAAGCTATACCTAAAGTATGCCCTACGAGAAGAGTACCTTATGCTATAAAAGATAAATTGAGAGAAACATTAAATGAATAAGTTGGCCAGAATATCATAACAGAAGTAAATGAACCTTGTGAGTGGGTAAAAAATCTAGTAGTAGTTGAGAAACAAGACAAAACTTTGCGCATATGTCTAGACCCCTCTGAGCTAAATAAATATATTGTAAGAGAGGTATATCAAATACCATTGTTAGAGGAGATTAAAATAGAGCTAACAAATAAAACAATTTTCAGCGTCTTAGATGTTAAAGGTGGTTTTTATCATATTATCTTAGATGATGCATCTAGTAAGTTGTTTTGTTTTAGTACACCATTTGGTATGCATAAATTTAAAAGATTAGCATTTGGAGTGTCATCAGCTCCTGAAATTTTTCAAAAACTAATGCATAGGTATTTTGGTGATATCAAAGGGGTTGTGTTGTACTTTGATGATTTGCTTGTTTGTGCTCAAACTAAGGATGAGCATGACATAATACTAGATAAAGTTATTGAGCGGGCAAGATTATTAAACATTAAATTTAGTGTCAAGGAGGTAAAATATATTGGTTTTCTTTTCAATCAGGAAGGGATTAATCCAGACAAAGATCGAATAGAGTCAATAATTCAATTGAAAAAAACCAAATAATAAAAAAGAATTGCAGATGATATTGGGAATCATAAATTATGTAAGAGAGGTTATTCCTATTTTAGCTGAAATTTAAAGTTCCCTGAGAGAGCTGTTAAAGAAAGATGTGGTTTGGGATTGGAATGGGGTTCGTGATGACTCTTTTAATAATATTAAGAAGCTTATTGCTGAAGTCACAGTACTAAATACACATGACCTCAAGTTTCCTTTAGAGATCCAGTGTGATGCGTTACAAGATTGGCAATAGGTTGTTGTCTTATGCAACATAAAAAACCATTATCATATTTTTTTCGTTCTTTAACTGATACCGAGAATTCTTGGGCTCAAATCGAAAAGGAATTTTTAGCTGTTACTGAATCGTGTAAAAAGTTTCATAACTACATTTATGGGAAAAAGGATACGGTTATCTATAATGATCATTTACCATTGGTGTCAATTATTAAGAAACAGTTAAATCAAATTCACAATAATAGAATCAAAAGATTAAAATTAAAATTAGCCTTGTATACATTAAGTCTTGAATATCTACCAGGGAAATTCATGTATATCGCTGATCTGCTGAATAGAAATATTATAAGTAAGAGAAAGGAAGAAGAGTAGTAAGTGCACCTTCTAGATATAAGTATTAATTATTATTAAAAAAAAAAAAAATTTATATAAGAATAAGAAAATTTTGTGTTATTAAGTAATTGTTTACTGTGGTAATATTATGTAATGAACTATGTTCTTTAATAACAATTTTCATTTGTTTACTAATTATGATAATTAATAGATTAATAGATTATGTTAAAAAAAGGAAGATGTTGTAGTAGCACCGGTGTCCTATCATTAAACTTATTATCAGTATTGTGATACAATTCATTCCCTAGATTTTTATCGTACATATGTGTTCAATATCAGTCACGTTGTCATGATTGCTTAATAATTAAATCATGTTCTTGATTACAAATTAAATGTGTTTTAATTAACTGATAAATTAACACCCATTGTACTGGCTTTAATTTTCAAATTTTAAGGGTAAAAAAAGGGATTTTTTCAACTTTTACCCCCACCTCCTCCCTAGTACCAACTAGATAACATTTGTGATTTATAAAATTACTATTCGAAGGAATCGAACCAGTATTAAAAAAATTTAGTGTATACAGACACAAAAAAAGCTAAAATTATTGTAAAACCAATAGCATCGCTGCTGCGCATCGAAGCTGTGTTTAATGATAAACAACATACAATAATAACAGGTTTATGCAAAACATCGTACAACATAAGTAAACACAGTGAATCGTTTATAGAACGTCCCATTATGTGTAGAAAAAGATTGTATGCTATTATAATAAAACTACATATTAAAATTGGTGTTCCATCTCTATTGACGAGGTTTTATTAATACTGTTTTTTAAAACGTTCAACATTTAATATTGTATTAAACACTATGATGAATTATTTTTTAGTAATTATAATTCTATGCTCAACTCCAGGTAAATATTATATTTTATAAATAATTTATTGCTTTATAATTTAATTACAGCAACCTACGTATAAGCGACAGGTTATATATATAATTATTAAACTTATCGCTAACTAAGGTATTTTTTTGATTGTTCAATAGTAATAATAACATTTAAATTGGAACGTTTTTTTTTATCTACGCAAAATTGTCCATACAAATTATTGTTTGTACCAGATCAAAAACATATTCATTAATAATTTTGTTATTTCTTTTTGATACCTTTTAAATAATATTATTTTACACTAGTTTTTTTGGTAAGTTTCAGAATTTTATCGATAAAACTTTATGGGCTATTTTCGTTAAGCTTTAACAATATAATACTAATCTATAGTGTACGATTTATAACAAAAAAAAACTATTTGTTAAATCAAATCATAGGTATGTTCAAGAAGAATGACGTCATATGCAAATCTGTATTTATTTTTTAACAATATACAACAATCACATATTTATATAGCTATACAAAAAACTGTTCACCATATGTGAAATAAATGATACTTTTATAATACTATATCCTATGAGGTATTAAAAAAAGGCCGCAATATTAAAATAAAAATACATACTCAAATCGGCTCCCCATATCTTTAGACTTGTTTATTTATTTTTTTAGCCTTAAACTTGTACTTCAAGTACATGTTAAAGCACATGTTTACAAAGTACATGTTTCATACAAAATATACAAAATAGGCTGATTTTGTTGAATTTGTATCTGTGTAATTGAGAAACTTAGAAATTAAAACTTCGATAAAATGTTATTTATCTTATATTTGAACACACATACTTTGAAGAGTGTAATACTAAATACTTAGGTACTTATAATGGGAGTACGAAAAAAATACAAAGTTGGAGTAACTAAAATTAAGGCTATTATAGGGACACAATTTATTTCAATTTAGAAAAACTAAATAGATAGTTGGCCTTACTAAACATTTAGTTGGACGATCTTAATATAATTGCTTAAACTAAAAATTTTATTGGCTCAACTATTTACTTAGTTTTTCAACTAGAAATTTAGTCTGTCCCTTTACTATTCACCAAAATTTCAGGTGAAACAACTATGTGTATTATTCTGTGTGACTTATCTTTAAGCATATTTCCTTAGGGATATAAAATTGGAGGATAAAAACTATTTGTTCCATTAATATTTTATTAAATCATAAAGAATTAAAAATTTCTCAGATTAGACAGGTGGACTTTTTTTTTATTATTATTATGTACGTCACAGTTTAAGTTTTAAAAATTAGTTGAGCTATGAATTTACTAGATAAACAATTAAATATATTTTAATACCCACTTTTAATTTTTGTCACCTAAAGTGTTTCAAAAATCAATCTAACAATCCTAAACTATTTAAATAAAAAAAAAAATAAGTTTTTAATAATAGGTTAATTTAAAAATTTCCAAATTCTAATTATTTTTAAGGTAATATTATTTTGTACAATTTAATTATTTTATACTAAACGCTAAACTATAATAATTAAATTATTTAAAATACAAAAATAAACAAAAAGTTGAAAAATAAGAACTCTGGAGAGTGGATGCAACCTAAATTAATAAATCATACAAATTAATCTAAAAAGTCCACTGTTTTTATCTATTCTAGGTCATTCTGGTAAATCTGGTTATGGGTCGCCACCTTCGTCTCCCTCAGATCGCAGATACGAGCTTATCGACCACACTGAAGTCTTGGTTGAATTCATAAGCAAGCTCCATCTAAGCAACAGGTATGTGGTATTGAATTTGTACCTATTTACTTTATTATTTTCACAATTTATCAAGCTAAACTTGTATACATTTTTTTTAATTCCATAGCCCAAAATGTTTTCTACTCTGTTAGCAATATAAAGTGTTATACTTGAAATACTATTGTAAAAGTAATTGTGTGTCCCGTTTTGCCAATTTTGGTGTAATAATTCTAATTTGATTTAAAGTAGGTTGTACACGGAAAGCCAAAATATGATATGACTGTATCATTGTGAACTTAAAATGCTAATAAAGAAGCTACTATTTATATTTTTTTTACTAATTTGTCAATATAGGTAGGTTTACCTTCTTCCCGCTTTCTATTTTATATAATCTTCCTACCCAAAATTATTCAATGCTCTTATTTTCCATTTTAAACTAGGGACTAAGATAAGGTTAAAACATAAACATTAATTGTAAGAATAATTTGTTACATTATGTATAATTTATTGTTACATTTTATATTAGTAGTCCTATGTGTATTGTTAAATAATTTAAATGCATATTTCAGATGTTCAGATGTTGTTTTGGTTGTGGGTAAAGAACGATTGCCCGCCCATCGTATTATACTAGCCTCACAAACCGAATATTTTAGGTGGGTATTTAACTTTTATTATATCATAACTACTTGTTTTTTTTTAGCTGTATATGAGGTATTTCACGTAAAACCTGTTCATCAGGACTACCTGGTTCGTTGTGACCTAAAATAAGATCCCTATTTTTTTTAAATACTTTAACTTATTTTAAACGTTGCTGCCGTCTTAAATATTTCGGTACAAAACATAAATTGTTTAAGGACTTTTATAAAACTTTAAAAAAATACTCTTAATAAATGTTTTCATCGTCCCAAAAATAGTATAATTATCAATCAGTACAATTATCTCTGAAAAGGGTTCTATTTTTATCGTTTTACTTCATAATAAAATGCTTCTGTATATATTAATTATACTCTTTAATTGTATTGTCATTTCAAATTTATCTGTTTTACCATATCTTAACGAGACTTTTAAGTAAGTTTTAGTTATATGATCTCTTTTTTGAAGTCCGTTTGATTAGACTTTAACAGTCTGTGCTTTACAGAATGATTAACATATAATATTATGTTATTTGTAATAAAATTGTGTAACATTTTCAGGAGGATTTTTTTTGAAGATTATAAAGAATCACATAAATCTGTGGTCAATCTTAGTGATGCACCAGTAACATCATTTGAAATACTTCATAAATATATATATACTGGTCGAATAAATTTAGGTGATCTAAAGGTAAAGAATAATCGACGTAGCTTAACCGTATTTAAACGGCATAAATATATTCTGTATTAAATTTGTGTGATTGTTTGGATGGTAGTATGTGTTAAATCTGTTTAATTATATATTTGTTGAGAATATTTTAAGGAAGAATGATTAATCACTTTTTTATTATTTTTTTTTAGAAAGGAGAAGTTTTCGAATTACTCAAAATGTCGGATTATTTTGGCATTTCAAACTTGAAACTTTCACTGCACAAGTATTTAAAAAGTACGAAAAAAATACTAAGTTGGTGTACCTAAAAATAAGGTTATTATAGGGACACAATTTATTTCTAGTTTAGAAAAACTAAATAAATAGTTGGCCATACTAAACGTTTAGTTGGACGAACTTAATATAGTTCCTTAAACCAAAAATTTAATTGGTTCAACTATTTACTTAGTTTTTTCAACTAGAAATTTTGTCTGTCCCTTTACTATTCACCAAAATTTTAGGTGGAACAACTATGTGTATTATTCTGTGTGACTTATCCTTAAGCATATTTCTATAGGGATAGAAAATTTGATGATAAAAACTATTTGTTTCAATATTATTTTATTAAATCATAAAGAATTTAAAATTTTTAGAATAATCAAATAGTCATTTTTTTAAATATTATGTACGTCACAATTTAAGTTTTAAAAGTTTGTAGAGCTATAAATTTACTAGATTAACAACTGAATATATTTTAATACTTATTTTTAATTGTTGTTACCTAATGTGTTTCAAAAATTAAATCAACAATCCCTCCCAATTCAAGTATATATATAAAAAAAAGATTTTAATAACCCTTTGATAAAGGATTAATTTTAATTGCATTATTTTGTACAAAACGCTAGGGCCGTTAACAGTTTTAACAATTATAAAACCATTCTATTACCGTCGAAAAAACTATAATAACTAAATTATTTAAATTAAAAAAAATAAACAAAAAGTTGAAAAATAAGAATTCTGGCGGGTGGATGCAACCTAAACTAAAAAATCATACAAATTAATCTAAAATGTTTTCTGTTTTGATCTGTTCCACCTACGCCTTCCTCAGATCACAGTAACGAGCATATCGACCATACTGGACTCTTGGTTGAATTCATAAGAGACCTCTATCTAAGCGACAGGTATGTGGTAATGAATTTGTACCTATTTACTTTATTATTTTCACAAGTTATCAAGCTAATCTTGTATACAGTTTTTTAATTCCATAGCCCGAAATGTTTTCTACTCTGTTAGCAATATAAAGTGTTTTACTTTAAATAATATTGTAAAGTAAGCCATAATTGTGTGTCTCGTTTGGCCACTTTTGGTGAAATAATTGTAATTTGATTTAAATTAGGTTGTACACGGAATGCAAAAATATGATATGCCTGTATCATTGTGAACTTAAAATGCTAATAAAATAGCTACTATTTATATTTTTTTTTACTAATTTGTCAATATAGATAGGTTAACCTTCTTCCCCCTTTCTATTTCTTATAATCTTCCTACCCAAAATTATTCAATTCTCTTATTTTCTATTTTAAACTAGAGACTAAGAGAAAGTTAAAACATACACATCAATTGTAATAATAATTTGTTACATTAAACATAATTTATGGTTACATTTTATATTAGCATGTGTATTGTTCAATAATTTGATTGCATATTTCAGATGTTCAGATGTTGTTTTAGTTGTGGGTAAAGAACGATTGCCCGCCCATCGTATTATACTAGCCTCACACAGCGAATATTTTAGGTAGGTATTTAACTTTTATTATATCATAACTACTTGTTTTATTTGTAGCTGAAGTTATTAAACATCAAGTCAGAAAGTTAGGCATAAATAAAATATTTGTTTACCTGTATATGGGGCATTTCACGTAAAACTTGATTATCGGCTCTCCTCGTGGAATTTTCATGACAATGAATTGGACTTCCTGGTTCGTTGTGACTTAATATAAAAAATATTCAAAATAAATGTTTTTATCGTCCCAAACATTATATAATTATCAATCGGTGCAATTATCTCGCTTTCCCCTGAAAAGGGTTCTATTTTAATCGTTTTACTTTATAGTAAAATGCTTGTATATATATTATTAATACTTCTAAATAATATTGTCATTTCAAATTTATCTGTTTTACCAATTCTTAACGAGAATTTTTAGTAAGTTTTAAATATATGATTTCTTTTTAGTCCGTTTAATTAGATTTAACAGAATGTATAACATATAATAAGTTATTTGTAATATTATTGTGTATTATTTCCAGGAGGGTTTTTTATGAAGATGATAAAGAATCCCATAAATCTGAGGTCAATCTTAGTGATGCACCAGTAACATCATTTGAAATACTTCTTAAATATATTTATACTGGTCGAATAAATTTAGGTGATCTAGAGGTAATAAATAATCGACGTAGCTATAAACATTTATAAACAGCATAAATATAATTTTTATTACGGTTGTGTGATAGTTTGGATAATAGTATGTGTAAGATCTGTTAAGTTACATATTTGTTAAATTAAAAACATTTTAATGAAGAAAGATTAATCACTTTTTTTATTCTTTTTTTTAGGGTGAAGAAGTTTTCAAATTACTTAGGATTTCGGTTTATTATGGCATTTTAAATTTAAAACTTCCACTGCACGAGTATTTAAAAAGTACTATTGACGTAGAAAATACATGGTCGTTCTTAGCTATGACTCGAACTTATAAATACAATGACCTTGAAGTCGAATCACTTCACTTTATCGATAACCACGCCTCAGAAGTATTGCAATCTGATGACTTTCTATCTTTGACATCAGTAATGACTTTGTTATTAATAAAAACATTATATTGCTCGTGTTAGGAGAATAGTTTAAAAGGAATTTTTATTTTTAGGAAGTTCTTCAAGATATTATCATTCGTGACTCATTTTATTGTAATGAATTAGATATATTCCACGCAGTTTGTCGCTGGATTAAAATACAACAAAACATCCTTGATCATAATACTGAAATGAAAGTTTTATCTGCCGTCAGATATCCTTTAATGAGTACTAAAGAACTGGCTGAGGTTAGGCAATCACCGCTGGTTAAATCTAATAAAAGTTTACATGACACAATATTCAGGAACACCTCGTCACCAGATAAGCTTCAATATCGAGGCCAGCTAAGTATGCTTGTTGTACACATCAATTTGTGTTTCGCAAATTATGTTGGTTTTAATTATTTCTTTTTTTAGAACCCAATAAAGATCTTATTCATCGGCCACGTGACCCTCTTTTTCCTAGGCCTTCGAATACTCCGGTTATCAATGGCACTAACGGTAGTACTACGATAACCTTGCGTGATCCATCATTTATAAACTATATTGCAATATCGTTATCGGGTGGACGTTCGATGGATGAATCAAGGTAAGTTTTCAACTTATAAATAACTCTAATTGAATGACCATTATTATGAAAAAATATGGTTTGAAAAATTGTTTGAAACATTCGTGACTATGATTTATGATTAATTTTATTTATTTATAAACATTTTATGTGTTGAGAATTTATTTTTATTATAAGTTAAGCAAAAAAAATTATCAGTGGTTGAAAAATTATTGTCTATTTTTATTGTTTATTAAAAATTAATTGCTTATAACTTATATTTATTATTCGACATTTTTTTACATAACTCTGGTCCTAATATTTAATCTCCTATTCTTTTTTACGAATCACTACAAGTTAATCGAACTATGTAATACTTTAGGTATTACTCTTATTACATTGATGTTTCAATGGATCAGAAGGTTTGGTTCCGTGCTATAGATCATTCAAATTATAATTGTCGATCAGCTCAAAATTTGTGGATTGAACCACGCATAGTTCGGTATATACGCGTTGTAGGAACTGCTAATGAAACTTTTAAATTTTTGGATGTCAAGTACAATACAAAAGAAATGCACGAGGTGGAAATAAAAAATGGATTAGTCGGTAAGAAAATCAATAAAGTAACTCAGTTTTTAATTAAAAAAGTTTAACATATATATTTATGTATTTGTCTAATTGATTCCTTAGTTCCTAAGTACGGGTATAATGTCGCTTCAAGTTATAGGTATGCTTTTGTAATCAAAGGAGAAAATGATTTAATGAGACAGTGGATGTTAAACAAATTAGATTATGATTACTATGATCGTTATGATAATAAGATTGATCGTTTAAACATGTATACATATCATAATTTGCAATCTGGTTGTATAGTGATTCATCTTGCACAACCATATATACTTAGTTCAATGAGGTAATTGTATAAATATCTTGTATTTTTAGAGCAATAAGTCTTCTTTTCGAATTTCTTTTTTTATCATTTTCAATCGTTCTTATACAATTTTAACTCATACACGGTCTATAAATAATTTCTTTTAAGTCTTTTTTCTTACTTCCTTATTAGAGCTTAAGTCTCCAAATTGTACAAAATACTATTTATCATTCTTAAACACTCTTAAGTAAAAGATTTATCTTTTTGATAAGATCCTTGATCCAAATTTAGTTCTCAGGATGTTGTAACACTTATACCCTCCATTTGTATAGCATTTTTGCTGAATTGAATTATAAATATAAAAATGTTTTTTTTTCTAATTGAAAATTGATATGCAGTTTATTAAACTAATTCACAATGATAATGTAAATGGATATCATTAACGAAAATGTGTTTAATTTGTAGTTTTTTTTATGTTGTACTCTAATGTTTATATTTATTTATTATTTAAATATGAATTTTTTATCATTCGGTTATTTACAAGAAAACAAAAGTTTATTTTGGCCTAATTATCTGTTAATCATGAATTATTCATTATTTAATTTAGACAATATTATTATTGCCATAATTGACAGGTTTCTGCTTTGGGGCGATAATGACCAATTCTACAAGTACACTGTTGAGGATTCTATCAATAACCAGGATTGGAAATGGATTGCAAACGAAACTAAAGAGCTGAAACAATCTTGGCAGGTGTTGAAATTTACACCTAGACCGATACTCTACATTCGTATTACTGGCGTTTATAACTCAGCAGGCAATGTGAGTGAAATAAGCTAAGAGTGTCTTTTAACTTTTAATAACTATTTTATGTTGTAGGATTTCCGTATTGTATATTTTGAAGCTCCCGCTCAAGTAATTGTAGACGATCGTGGGGTAAGAAATACTATATATATTTTTTTTTTACAATCATTATGACGGAAATGGAGACAGAATTTTAATTTTCAGAAGAACAACGAAACAGATGTTACAATGACAGAAGCTTCGACTTCAAATCCAGTCGTTAAAACCAAATTCCAATTATAAGCATATTTGTGGTTGTAGCACGCTTACTATGAATTAAAGATATTATAAAAAATACAATTTTTCTCGTTTATATATACTTGTTGAAGTTCCGCACGAACAGTCCGACAGTGCGCACGCATCTCACTTCGCTCTCGAGTTATGTTCATTTCTTTCGCTCTACTCCAAACCGAAAATTCTGCATTTCACACCAGTCGAAGAGTATTGTGCTCCACACTTTAACAAGTTTCATTGAGGCTTAATTTTCATAAGTTTACACAAAGTAATATTTCTAATTTTATTATACATAATTATTACGCAATTACTATACACTTACTACAAACGTGAGGCACCGACGCTCCGCTGCGTGCGGTGACCTTTGGACTTTAGATAACATACAGCGACATGTCTTTTACTCAAACCACCTCCTATGGCCCCGTATCGCCAATAAAAATTATTCGAAACCAGATAGTTAACAACGAAAAAAAAGGTAATATCTCATCTAATGACAATAAACGTCCATTATCGTCCTCCTCCTCCCTACCGCAATCACCAACTATCATCAACATAAAGAAATCAAAGTTATTCGTAACTCCAAACCGATATTCTGCTCTTTCTATTGAAGAACCCAACGTTGACGATAACGTATTTAATGATTCTAATCAGGAGCAACCGGATATCAACAATAATGCACCGAAAACCGTTTTACCTCCACTCATCTTCATCAAAGGCGTCCTTGACGTCATAGGCCTGCGAAAAAGTTTTATGACAATCATCGGCCCAGACACCTTTTCTTGCAAATCAACAACGAATCAACTCAAAATCCAAACAGATACCCCGGATAATTACAGGAAGATAATACATTTCCTAAAAGATATTGACGCTTAATTCCACACTTATCAGTTACAATCCGACAAATCTTTAAGAGCTGTTATTAGAACTGTCCTCACTACTGTTCTATCCCCTCCCACAATATCAAACAGATCATATACAAGCTTCTGGTAATTCCTTAACTCTAAACAACATCCCCATACACATCTATGCAGTATATTGTCCCCCACGCCATGTCATCACTCTTAATCAATTTAGTAACTTTTTCCTCACACTTGGACAAAAATTCATAATAGGAGGCGACATCAATGCAAAAAACACACATTGGGGCTGTCGTATGAATAACCCTCGTGGAAACACACTCAATCTCTTTACTCAAACTCAAAACTACAAAATTCATACTCCTCCCTCACTTACTTACTGGCCTACCTCACCCAGGAAAAGACCAGATATTCTCGATTTTTTTGTGTCCAAAATACCAAATAGTCAACATACTTTAACAACTAATCTAAACGATCTATGCTCTGACCACTTATCCGTTCTTCTAACGATTGACACTACTCCCTTAAATAAACCAAAACAACCCAGCCTCATCCAAGGCAAAATGGACTGGGACAAATTCAGATTAACCCTTGAAAACCAAACCAATCTTAAACTTAGCTTAAAATCCTCCGATGAGATAGATGAAGCTGTAAACCGCCTAACTAAATCTATACAAGAAACAGCTTGGTCATGCTCCACCCCTACCCCTCCTACAAATCACGCTGGAAATCTTCCTTTACATATTAGAGTCCTTATCTCCGAAAAACGCAGAGCCCGTGCCACCTGGCAAAGAACCAAATATCCTTCTGACAAACGAAAATTTAATAACCTAACAAACAAACTTAAAAGGGTTCTAGCAACAGTCAGATCTAATAACTTCACCAGACACCTCATTTCCTTATCAGCAGGTGATAATCCACTCTGGCAAACTACAAGGAAAATCCTTCGATCCCAACCACTTGTACCTCCTCTGAAAAAAACTGACGGTACTTGGGCCATCAGTGATCTAGAAAAAGCCAACTTATATTCCCATCACTTAACTTCTACCTTCCAACCACACTATAATATCTTTTGCCCGACCCAAATTGAAAAGGTAAATCATTTTCTATCCTGCTCTTTACCCATGAATCTACCACCTAAACATATACGGCCAAGTGAAGTCGAACATGCAATACGAAAATCTCCTAAAAGAAAAACCCCAGGCTATGATCTAATTACAGCAGAAGTGGCAACACAACTGCCAAAAAAAACTCTACTCCTCCTGACTTACTTGTATAACTCTATGATTAGGCTCTCCTACTTCCCGATTCTATGGAAATTTTCAGTGATCATCATGGTCCTTAAGCCAGGGAAACCCCCGGACTCCCCTGAATTATATAGGCCCATCAGTTTTCTTCCCTTATTTTCCAAGATTTTTGAAAAACTTATTTTAAAACGTACCCTCTCTACCATCGAATCCAACCTCCCAAACACACAATTTGGTTTTCGTCACAACTACTCAACTATTCTCCAAGTACACCGCTTAGTTGGCAAAATTCCCTACACACTAGAGAAAAAGCTAGTATGCACGGGTGCATTTTTGGATATGACACAAGCCTTTAACAAAGTGTGGCACGATGGTCTCCTCTTCAAACTAAAGTCTTTTCTTCCCCCATATTTCTACCTATTATTTAAATCTTACTTGGAAAATAGACACTTTACTGTACGATCAGGTTCTTCCTTTTCTGAAATATCTCTAATTCGTGCTGGTGTTCCACAAGGAGCTGTCGCAGCACCTTTGTTATTTAATCTTTTCACCTCGGATCAACCGACTACACCATACACCACTACCGGCGACTTTGCTGACGATAAAGCTCTCCTAGCCCTCCATGCCGACCCTGAAACGGCCTCAAACTTTATCCGAAACCACCTCAACCTGTTATCAAATTGGTATAAAGAATGGGGATCAACGAGACTAAATCCATCCACTGCACATTTACTCTAAAACGGACAGACT